GGATACATAAGGGATAAACATAGGGGCTGCAGAAGGCTTATTGGCCCATACGAGGCATCTCCTATCTAAACACAAAGATTAATCCAGTGTAATTGGCCTGTTATGTTGGACATTGTCTTCTGTGTTGGCATCGATATGTTCTTGTCTTGTCCTTACTCTCATGGTAGGTAGAGTAAATAGTTCCGTGATTTGGGTGTTCATGGTAGGTCGCTCTATTCTTATGTGAATTGCCTCAAGAATTTGTAATCTTCTTGAATCTTGGGTTTTGTCTATTATGCAAGTATTCTTGTTCAACATTTCTCTTGTTAGAGTAATGTCATGGGCTTGTCTCATGTGATTCCTAGGGGCACCAGATTGAAGATGGCATGTCAAACGCCTCGTCAGCTTGGTCGACGTCATACCTATGTACTTACATTGAAGGTTACATCCTTCGTGGGGGCAAGTGTACATGTATACAACGCTTGACTGCTGTAGAGGGTTCTCCGTCGGCTTCGGGCTGTTTTTGATAAGGAGTTCGGAAGTCTTCTTGGTTTTGTAGAATATTATCAGGTTTATGTTTTGGTTAGGAGTAGTGCTTTTTACTCCTTTACGGATTATTTCTTTCATTATTCTTTCCTCTTTTTTATGTTCACTGTGCATGGTTGATTTGTAATATAATTTTATTGGGGGTGTTGTGGTTTCTGTTCTAGGTTCTGAATTATACCAACGGTCCAAGTGTCTTCTTATAGCAGCGTTTATTTCCGCGTTGCTATATCCGTTGTTCACCAATACCTGAGTAACTCTTTCAAACTCTCTACTCACGTTGCTCCATTCAGAGCAGTGGGTAAGCGCTCGACGAATATAAGCATTGAGAACACTGGCTTTGTATCTTTAGGGGCACTCACTTCTACCGTTCAGGCATAATCCTATGTTGGTGGGCTTGGTATATACGTTGGTGCTTAAAGAGGTTCCTGTTTTTGTTATTAGTACATCCAAGAATGGCAGACTGTTATTTTCACTATTTTCATGTGTAAATCGGAGTACTGACTCTCTCTCTCTAGGTGTCTTTTTAGGTCAATTAGTTCATCTGAGTCTTTTACTATTACGAATATGTCATCTACATAACGGCAGTATACAGTTGGTTTTTGTCTGCTACTGAAGACCCTGTCTTCGATGGTTCCCATATAAAAATTAGCAAATAAAACTCCTAAGGGGGAGCCCATTGCTACTCCGTCTATTTGTAAATACATGTCTCCTTGTGGACTGATGAAAGGGGCTTCCTTTGTACATGCTTCGAGAAGACTTTTCAAGTGTGGCTCAGGTATGTCTAATTTGGGGGTGCTCTCGTCTCTGTATACTCTGTCCAGTATCATTCCTATGGTTGTGTCGACTGGGACGTTGGTAAATAGGGATTCAACGTCCAGAGAAGCGATGATTCCATCGGGCTGGGTAGATTTGATCAATTCTAGGAAATTGATCAAATAAATGTATTGAAATGTATTTACAAATAGACGGAGTAGCAATGGGCTCCCCCTTAGGAGTTTTATTTGCTAATTTATATATATATATATATATATATATATATATATATATATATATATATATATATATATATATATATATATATATATATATATATATTTTTTTTTTTTTTTTTTTTTTATTTTTTTTTTTTTTTAAGTTTGTGAGGGTACCACCTCTGGTGCCAATGTGGGGACCCATAGCCTCGGAGAAGAAAATAAAAAGTATTCAGAGGAGACCTTGTGGTTTCTCACTGAACACTAATATTATCTTCTCCTACCACCCCCATTCTGTTGTATGTACACATATATATTTACTTTATTTGAACTTTGTTACAAAAAAGGAGTTACATATGGGTTACAAAGACGGTTATCATAGGTTATCGAGTTCCTCCAGCTCCTCAGATGGTGGGCAGGAACCCTGGATGCAGTGCGCATTTCCCCTCTGTATCGCCACACTGAGGCGCTGGAAAAGAAAGCTTGCAGCTCTTGGATCCCTTGTTGTTTCAATGAGCCTAGAACCCAGTTCCTTCAAAAACTGGTAGCACTTTTACCCCAGGCGCCGAGTGTCTCAGAAGCAATGGGGACAAAATTGTAGTGGTGATCCAGTTCACTATACTTACGGGATTTGGCTGCTTCCCTGTGGGTGGCAGCGCCACCTGGTTGTGCAACACTGAGCTTAATGTAGGTGTTAGCCAGGGTTGATACGCACGTGTAGTTCCATACCAACTGCTTGCCATTCTTCCAGGGGTTCACTGTGATACCATCCGGTCGACCAATAAGAGCATCAGAGTTACGGGGCGTTAGGTAACGGGGCTCTCTTTCAGCTGGGCATCCAGCTGTGGTGAGGCTCCTCTTGATGATGTCGTTAACTTCATTGTGCCTCGAGTGCCATCCCCCTGTGCTTTGGCAGAGTAGGCCATGGTGGCCGTACCTGTCAGCCACCACCTCGCCGCAAATACACCTATATCTGGTGTGGATTGGGGCAGCAAGGCGGAGGGCCACAGCAATTCGGAGGGCGTGTGGTGTGAGACGCGTGCCAGTTGCCGACATTGGGGTTGCTAACAAGAAATCCCCTGCATGTGGTGCTGCTACTGCTGTGAGGCGAGCAATGTCGTGTTGTGTTGTTGCAGCACCCAGGCACTCTGCAGCAACTTGGTCTACAATGGGGCCATCCCAGCTGGATTGCTTGTGGGCTTTTGGGGATGGTGGTTGAGGTGATTGGCCTGCACGAGAGGCCCACTCTGTGGCACAGTGTGTAAAATTGGGATCATGTACACCTGCCAGCTGATGTAAGTGGGCAGGTAGAATTTCCTTCACAAGGTCGTCGGATGCTGATAAGGAGGACAGGAAGGCTGGAACAGCGATTTGCGTTGCTGTTCGAACTCCGAGGCCCCCAAGTCTTACGGGAAGAGAGGCTTGTTTCCACTGTAGGTCATCGAGAGAGAGGTTAAGGGCTTTTTCTAGCATTGATTTCAGTAACCGGTCATACTCACTTAGTTTTTGGCTACTGTAAGATGGTGAACACCTCAGAAAGTAGGTTAACCTGGGGAAGGACAGACATCTGGTGATGAGGTAGAGTGCATCATGAGCATCAATATCCTCAATCCTCCCATCCATCCTCTTAAGGTCGGCGATTTTCTTATCAAGGACCTCATCGATGGCTTTCAACCCCAGGGGAGCTCCTTGGAGTGTGCTGTCTTCAGGTTTAGTTTTATGGATATTTGGCAGAAGACCCTCTATTCTCTCTACGATGCCCTGGTTGGAACATATTATTTCACATTTAGAAGGGTTCAGGGTGAGGCCTAAAACTGTACCTTGCTCCTGGATTTTTCTGATGTCCTCCAGGAGGGAGTCTTGGGAACCAGCTAGGGTACCATCATCCAAGAACCAGATGTTAAGCTCGCTGGACAGGACCTCTGTGACTTGTTTGATGACTAAGCAGAAAAGGAGAGGAGCAAGGGGGTCACCCTGTTGGACGCCTTCTCGCGAGTCAATTTCATGTTCGCCAAAAAGTAGCTTAAGATCCATACTGTAGCATGAATGTACAAAAGGGTAGAGGGAAGGGAAATGACTATGAACCGCATGGAGTACAGCATCCCTCCGCACCAAATTGAAGGCATTTTTGAAATCTAGCTTGATAAGGGCCTTTTCGTCTGTGATGTTGGCGATGAAGGCTCGAGCTGCATGGGCTGCCGCCTCACACCCTTGTGGAATGCCAAACCCGAGCTGTTTTGGCTTCAGCATGTTGGCCGCTGCATCACTAACTGTTCTTGCAGCTGCCTTTGCGACGAGACGCCGGAGAGAATTGCCCACAGCTATTGGCCTGATCCCTCCATCCTTTTTCTTTAGAGCACAGAGAGATGCTCCAAAAAAGATAGGTCTTATGGACGCTGGTATGTTGCCAGCTAGACATGTGTTGGTGAATCCGGTTAGTTCCACCAAGAGGTTCTTTGCAATGTCACCCAGTGCAGGGTTGAGCATTTGCTATATATATATATATATATATATATATATATATATATATATATATATATATATATATATATATATATGTCGTACCTAGTAGCCAGAACTCACTTCTCAGCCTACTATTCAAGGCCCGATTTGCCTAATAAGCCAAGTTTTCCTGAATTAATATATTTACTATAATTTTTTTCTTATGAAATGATAAAGCCACCCTTTTCACTATGTATGAGGTCAATTTTTTTTATTGGAGTTAAAATTAACGTAGATATATGACCGAACCTAACCAACCCTACCTAACCTAACCTAACCTATATATATAGGTAAGGTTAGGTTAGGTAGCCAAAAAAAGCTAGGTTAGGTTAGGTTAGGTAGACGAAAAAACATTAATTCATGAAAACTTGGCTTATTAGGCAAATCGGGCCTTGCATAGTAGGCAGAGAAGTGAGTTCTGGCTACTAGGTACGACATATATATATATATATGCAAACAAGCCTGAATGGTCCCCAGGACTATATACAACTGAAAACTCACACCCCAGAAGTGACTCGAACCCATACTGCCAGGGGCAACGCAACTGGTATGTACAGGGACGCCTTAATCCGCTTGACCATCACGACCGGACATAAGGAAGTGATAGCCTAAGCTATTTGAACCACTTCCCCGCCGGCACTCGGATAGTAATCTTGGGCATAGCATTTTATCAAATCACCTCATTCTTTGGGGCACACGTGAGGAACACAAATGCAAACAAGCCTGAATGGTCCCCAGGACTATATGTATATATATATATATATATTTATGTCAGGGTATAAATATATTGATGAATAAATCAATCAATATATATATATATATATATATATATATATATATATATATATATATATATATATATATATTATTGATTGATTTATTCATCAATATATTTAAAATATTTATTTATTGATTAATTTATTCATCAATATTTTTAAAATATTTATTTATTGATTTATTTATTCATCAATATATTTTTTTTTTTTTTTGCATTTCTGACAGATTCAACACTGGGTTCAATTTGCTGGCGGCATCAGAGGGGAACCCTTTCCATAAGATGGTAGTAACAGATGACCCTGAGGCTCCAGGGGGACAGCGGGTTCAGTTCAAGGGACCAATGGGAGAGCTCATGGACTTCATCGCCACTGCCATGAACGTTTCGTAAGTTAAATGCTTGGTTGAGTGTTCATTCTTGGTTGAATGTTTATGCTTGGTTGAGTGTTCACGTACAGTTGAATGGTTCATGCTTGGTTGAATTGTTCGTGCGTGGCTGAATAGTTCATTCCTGGTTGAATAGTACATGCTTAGTTGAATGTGTATGTGCGTGACCAACATATCTGCCACTAGGTGTTTGTGTACATGTATGTGCGTGACCAATATATGCCTCACCAGGTGTTTGTGTACATGTATGTGCGTGACCAATATATGTCTTACCTGGTGTTTGTGTACATGTATGTGCGTGACCAACATATCTGCCACCAGGTGTTTGTGTACATGTATGTGCGTGACCAATATATGTCTTACCTGGTGTTTGTGTACGTGTGTGTGCGTGACCAATATATGTCTTACCTGGTGTTTGTGTACGTGTGTGTGCGTGACCAATATATGTCTCACCTGGTGTTTGTGTACGTGTGTGTGCGTGACCAATGTCTCACCCTCCAGGTACACCAACTAGTGTACAATTCCTGAGCCTATTGGGCTCTATCATAACTACATTTGAAACTGTGCATGGAGTCAGCCTCCACCACAACAATACTTAAGGCATTCCATTTGTTAACTACTCTGACACTGAAAAAATTCTTTCTAACGTCTCTGTGGCTCATCTGGGTACCAAGTTTCCACCTGTGTCCCCTTGTTCGTGTTCCACCCTCGCTAAAGAGTTTGTCTTTGTCCACCCTGCCAAATCCCCTGAGAATTTTGTAGGTGGTTATCATGTCTCCCCTTACTCTTCTGTTTTCCAGGGTTGTGAGGTTCAGCTCCCTTAGCCTTTCCTCGTAACTCATTCCTCTCAGTTCCAGGACCAGTCTGGTGGCATACCTCTGAATCTTCTCTAGCTTCGTCTTGTGTTTAACTAGGTATGGACTCCAGGCTGGAGCTGCATACTCCTGGATTGGCCTAACATAAGTGGTATACAGGGTCCTGAACGATTCTTTACACAAGTTTCTAAAGGCAGTTCTTATATTGGCCAGACTAGCATATGCCGCTGATGATATCCTTTTGATGTGGACCTCTGGTGACAGGTTCAGTGACTCTTGAACTATTTGACTCTTTGTAGGATTTCACCTCCCAGATGGTACCTTGTGTTCAGCCTTCTGCTCCCTTTGCCTAATTTCATTACTTTACACTTTCCTGAGTTGAACTTTAGCAGCCATTTTCTAGACCATTCCTCCAGTTTGTCCAGGTCGTCCAGTAGTCTCTGTCTATCTTCATCTGTTTTGATTCTTCTCATAATTTTTGCGTCATCAGTAAACATTGAGAGGAATGAGTCTATATCCTCTGGAAGGTCGTTTACATATACTAGAAACAGGATGGGTCCGAGAACAGAGCCCTGTGGAACCCCACTGGTGACATCTCGCCACTCTGATGCCTCCCACTCACTGTTACTCGCTGTTTCCTATTGCTTAGATACTCACTTATCCACTGGAGCACCTTACCCTTTACTCCTGCCTGCTGCTCCAACTTTTGTAACAGCCTTTTGTGAGGTACTGTGTCAAAGGCTTTCTGACAGTCCGAGAAAATGCAGTCTGCCCACCCTTCTCTTTCCTACCTAATTTGTGTTGCTTGGTCATAGAATTCTGTTAGGCCTGTGAGGCACGATTTACCATCTCTGAACCCATGCTGGTGGTGTGTTACAAATGTTGACCAGACCACACACTAGAAGTTGAAGGGACGACGACGTTTCGGTCCGTCCTGGACCATTCTCAAGTCGATTCATCGACTTGAGAATGGTCCAGGACGGACCGAAACGTCGTCGTCCCTTCAACTTCTAGTGTGTGGTCTGGTCAACATACTTCAGCCACGTTATTGGACTCATCGCCTGCGTGTGTTAGAAAGCTGTTTCCCTCCAGATGCTCTACGAACCTTTTCCTCACAATCTTCTCCACCACCTTGCATGGTATACAAGTTAGGGAAACTGGCGTGTAGTTCAGTGCCTTTTACCTGTCCCTCTTTTTGTAAATTGTGACTACATTAGCTTTCTTCCATTCCCCGTCCCCCGTTTCCAGTGACCTGTTATACAACATAGAGAGTGGCACACTTAATGCTTCTGCACTTTCTTTTAGAATCCACGGTGAGATTCTGTCAGGCCCAACAGCTTTTGACACATTCAGCTCCAACAGATTCCTTTTGACCTCATCACTGGTGAGGTAAATTTTCTCCAAGGTTGTTCGGTTTGCCTCCTCATTTAGTGCAGAGACCTCTCCTTGTTCTATTGTGAAGACCTCCTGGAATCTCTTATTGAGTTCTTCACACACCTCTTTGTCGTTCTCTGTGTATCTGTTCTCCCCTTTTCTCTGTTTCATCACGTGTTCCTTCACTGCTGTTTTCCTCCTGGTGTGGCTGTGGAGCAGTTTTGGTTGGGTCTTAGCTTTACTGGCAATGTCATTTTCGTACTGCCTCTCTGCTTCTCTCCTCACTCTGATGTACTCATTTCTGGCCCTCTGGTATCTCTCCCTGCTCTCTGGTGTTCTGTTGTTCCTGTAGTTTTGCCATGTTCTTTTACTCAATTGCTTTGCTGCCGCACATTCCTGGTTGAACCACGGATTCTTCTGTTGCTTTTCATTTTCACTTTTTGGACTGGGATAATCCTGTCTACAGCCTCCTGACACTTCTGAGTGACATAATCCATCATATCCTGTACAGTCTTTTCTCTGAGTTCTGTTTCCCATGGTATTCCCATTAGGATGTTTCTCATCTCGTCATATTTTCCTCTTCGGTAATTTAGTCTGTTTCCTTCCAATCCCATCCTTGGGTAGGTTATCCATACTTCTACCAGATACACAAATATCAATACACTGTGGTCACTCATTCCTATGGGGGCTTCATATTTAACTTCCCTTATTTCTGAGTCATTTAAGGTGAAATCAGTTCGAGTCTAGCTGGTTCGTCGTTTCCTCTCATTCTTGTGGGCTCCTTGACATGTTGGCTCAGAATGTTCCTTGTACTCACTTCCAAAAGTTTAGATCTCCATGTGTCTTCACCTCCATGTGGGTCCCCATTCTCCATGTCAATCTTTCCATGGTTGAAATCGCCAATGATTAAGAGTCTGATGTTTGTGTACGTGTGTGTGCGTGACCAATGTCTCACCCTCCAGGTACACCAACGTGCGTCCTCCGGATCGTTATTGGGGCAACAGGCTTCAGAACGGCTCTTGGTCCGGCATGGTGGGCATGGTTATGAGGCAGGTGAGTGTTGTGAGGCAGCTTATGAGGGAGGTGTGTGTTGTGAGGCAGCTTATGAGGGAGGTGTGTGTTGTGAGGCAGGTGATGAGGCAGGTGAGTGTTGTGAGGCAGGATATGAGGGAGGTGTGTGTTGTGAGGCATGTGATGAGGCAGGTGAGTGTTGTGAGGCAGGATATGAGGGAGGTGTGTGTTGTGAGGCAGGTGATGAGGCAGGTGAGTGTTGTGAGGCAGGTGAGTATTGAGAAGCAGGGGAAGAGGCAGGTGAGTGTTTTGAGGTAGGTGATGAGGCAGGTGAGTGTTGTGAGGTAGGTGATGAGGCGGGTGAGTTTTGAGAGGCAGGTGATGAGGTAGGTAATGAGGGAGGTGAGTGTTGTGAGGCAGGTGAAGGGGGGTGAGTGTTGTGAGGCTGGTGATGAGGGAGGTGAGTGTTGTGAGGCAGGTGATGAGGCAGGTGAGTGTTAAGAAGCAGGTGATGAGGTAGGTAATGAGGGAGGTGATGAGGAAAGAGAGTGTTGAGAGGCAGGTGATGAAACAGGTTAGTGTTGTGAGGCAGGTGATGAGTCAGGTGAGTGTTGTGAGGCATATGATGAGACAGGTGAGTGTTGTGAGGCAGGTGATGAGTCAGGTGAGTGTTGTGAGGCAGGTGATGAGTCAGGTGAGTGTAGTGAGGCTGATGAAGAGGGAGGTTAGTGTTGTGAGGCAGGTGATGAGTCAGGTGAGTGTTGTGATGCATATGATGAGACAGATGAGTGTTGTGAGGCCGGTGATGAGGCAAGTGAGTGTTGTGAGGCAGGTGATGAGTCAGGTGAGTGTAGTGAGGCTGATGATGAGGGAGGTTAGTGTTGTGAGGCAGGTGATAAGTCAGGTGAGTGTTGTGAGGCATATGATGAGACAGGTGAGTGTTGTGAGGCAGGTGATGAGGGAGGTTAGTGTTGTGAGGCAGGTTATGAGGGTGGTGAGTGTTGTGAGGCAGGTGATGAGGCAGGTGAGTGTTTTGAGGCAGCTGATGAGGCAGGTGAGCGTTGTGAGGCAGGTGATGAGTCAGGTGAGTATTGTGAGGCAGGTGATAAGTCAGGAAAGTGTTGTGAGGCAGGGGATGAGTCAGGTGAGTGTTGTGAGGCAGGTGATGAAGGAGGTTAGTGTTGTGAGGCAGGTGATGAGGGAGGTTAGTGTTGTGAGGCAGGTGATGAGTTAGGTGAGTGATGTGTAGCAGGTGATGAGTCAGGTGAGTGCTGTGAGGCAGGTGAAGAGGGAATTGAAATGGAATTCGTATAATATTTAGTATAGCCTGTGTGTTGATATTAAGTGCTACAGATAGCTCTGTTTTTGAAAAAAAACATGTTTGTACCTGTCACAGGTGTGTCATCTATATAGTAGGTATATAAACACACACGCATATTCAAATGGAACGTTTTGTCAGAATTTCAAAGCAATCGGTGAAGATCTTAGGGAGAATACAACGCGTTTTACTCTTACGTCCAACAGATGACGCTGTTTTGAAAAAAAAACATGTTTTTTCCTGTCACAGGTGATGCCTGTATATAGTAGTTATATAAAAAGACGCGTCTATTCGATTGCAACGTTGTGTCAAAATTTCAAAGCAATCGGTAAAGAGGTTTCAAAGATTTCTCTCACATGAAAAACACACTAAAAACAGTTTTTCAATAAAAGCATGTTTTTTTTCTGTCACAGACGTTACATATATATATATATATATATATATATATATATATATATATATATATATATATATATATATATATATATATATATATATATATATATATATATATATATATATATATATATATATATATATGTCGTACCTAGTAGCCAGAACGCACTTCTCGGCCTACTATGCAAGGCCCGATTTGCCTAATTAGCCAAGTTTTACTGAATTAATATATTTTCTCTAATTTTTTTCTTATGAAATGATAAAGCTACCCATTTCATTATGTATGAGGTCAATTTTTTTTTATTGAAGTTAAAATTAACGTAGGATATATGACCGAACCTAACCAACCCTACCTAACCTAACCTAACCTATCCATATAGGTTAGGTTAGGTTAGGTAGCTGAAAAAGTTAGGTTAGGTTAGGTTAGGTAGGTTAGGTAGTCGAAAAAAATTTAATTCATGAAACCTTGGCGTATTAGGCAAATTGGGCCTTGCATAGTAGGCTGAGAAGTGCGTTCTGGCTACTATGTACGACATATATATATATATATATATATATATATATATATATATATATATATATATATATATATATATATATATATATATATATATATATATATATATATATATATATATATGAATATATATATAATATTCGAAACGTTATGCATTTTAAAGTAAAGATTCTGAAACAAGATGTTCAGTATATCCCTGGTTTTCCTATTTATCTTAAAATTAAGATTCCCGAAGGGAACATCGATCATAAATATTTTATTAAAACGATATGGAAGACCTACAGTTACGTTATACAGAAGAATAGAGAAAGTGGATTTCGCAGTTAAGAAGGCTCACTTGGATTTGGAATTTCTACAAACCTGTAAGGCGCATCGTTTGGTCCCAAGATTCCTCAGGTTTAAAGTGTATTCCGACAAATTTGCGTTGACAAGTGAATATAATTCTTGGTTATTAAGATTGTTGGACTTTGAAATCTCTGAAAAGCAGAAGCGGGTAAATAAGTTGAAAAGTGAATTGCACGTGTACTTGGAGAAATTCAAGATCTTGGTTTCCTGGGTTGATTTTGAATCTTTAAAATGTAAATATGAAAACTATAATGATAAAAGGGTTGAAAAATGTAGACTTCTTCACGAGAAGAAATTGCGTAACTTGGGTATACCTTCATTTAATTCGGTGGACCCTGATAAGGTGGTTTTCAATTTTTCAAAGAGAGTTCTGTCTCCCATTGAGAAAGAACTTCTCTCTCTAGGGTTAGACTTCGGGTTGACGTGTAAAAAAACTAAATTTGTTAATCATTTTTTAGGTTTTGAGCGGTTATGCAACACATTAAAAACTTGTACCCTAAGGACTGGTACAAATTATAGTTGGACCAATATCATCAGTATATATATATATATATATATATATATATATATATATATATATATATATATATATATATATATATATATATATATATATATATATATATATATATATATATATATATATATATATATATATATATATGCAATTGATGATCACAAAACACTGATCATTTTATGCGGAAAATCCACAGAGAAATATGAAATGAGGTGAACGTTTCGGCTTTGTTAAAGCCTTTGTCAACACCAGACTGACTGATGTTGACGAGCAATGAGGCGAGCAATGTCGTGTTGTGTTGTTGCAGCACCCAGGCACTCTGCAGCAACTTGGTCTACAATGTTGTCTACAACACCTTGGTCTACAACACCAGACTGTCAGTCTGGTGTTGACAAAGGCTTTAACAAAGCCGAAACGTTCACCTCATTTCATATTTCTCTGTGGATTTTCCGCATATATATATATATATATATATATATATATATATATATATATATATATATATATATATATATATATATATATATATATATATATATATATATATATATATATATATATATATATATATATATATATATATATATATATATATATATATATATACATATATATATATATATATATATATATATATATATATATATATATATATATATATATATATATATATATATATATATATATATATAAGATATATAATATATTATATATAATATATATATAATGTCCTTGATAAGAAAATCGCCGACCTTAAGAGGATGGATGGGAGGATTGAGGATATTGATGCTCATGATGCACTCTACCTCATCACCAGATGATGTCCCTCCCCAGGTTAACCTACTTTCTGAGGTGTTCACCATCTTACAGTAGCCAAAAACTAAGTGAGTATGACCGGTTACTGAAATCAATGCTAGAAAAAGCCCTTAACCTCTCTCTCGATGACCTACAGTGGAAACAAGCCTCTCTTCCCGTAAGACTTGGGGGCCTCGGAGTCCGAACAGCAACGCAAATCGCTGTTCCAGCCTTCCTGACCTCCTTATCAGCATCCGACGACCTTGTGAAGGAAATTCTACCTGCCCACTTACATCAGCTGGCAGGTGTACATGATCCCAATTTTACACGCTGTGCCACAGAGTGGGCTTCTCGTGCAGGCCAATCACCTCAACCACCATCTCCAAAAGCCCACAAGCAATCCAGCTGGGATGGCCCCATTGTAGACCAAGTTGCTGCAGAGTGCCTGGGTGCTGCAACAACACAACACGACATTGCTCGCCTCACAGCAGTAGCAGCACCACATGCAGGGGATTTCCTGTTAGCAACCCCAATGTCGGCAACTGGCATGCGTCTCACACCACACGCCCTCCGAATTGCTGTGGCCCTCCGCCTTGCTGCCCCAATCCACACCAGATATAGGTGTATTTGCAGCGAGGTGGTGGCTGACAGGTACGGCCACCATGGCCTACTCTGCCAAAGCACAGGGGGATGGCACTTGAGGCACAGTGAAGTTAACGACATCATCAAGAGGAGCCTCACCACAGCTGGATGCCCAGCTGAAAGAGAGCCCCGTTACCTAACGCCCCGTAACTCTGATGCTCTTATTGGTCGCCCGGATGGTATCACAGTGAACCCCTGGAAGAATGGCAAGCAGTTGGTATGGGACTACACGTGCGTATCAACCCTGGCTAACACCTACATTAACCTCAGTGTTGCACAACCAGGTGGCGCTGCCACCCACAGGGAAGCAGCCAAATCCCGTAAGTATAGAGAACTGGATCACCACTACAATTTTGTCCCCATTGCTTCTAAGACACTCGGCGCCTGGGGTAAAAGTGCTACCAGTTTTTTGAAGGAACTGGGTTCTAGGCTCATTGAAACAACAAGGGACCCGAGAGCTGCAAGCTTTCTTTTCCAGCGCCTCAGTGTGGCGATACAGAGGGGAAATGTGC